AAGTGAGTCACAAAACATGACTTGTGGTTTTTTTTAAATGTTAATGCAGATTCAGATCATACACCTATACCTGGTCTGTGACCACCTTGTACACCACCTTGAGGACACTGCGGCCAGCTTCTACCTCACTTTTACAAATTCCCGAGAGCTACTCCTGAGTGTTTGCGGTGCAGTTTTAAAGTCACTGTTCACCACCAAAATCCCCTTAGGCCATTACAGATTTTCTTCTGATGTAACAAAACCTCCTCTGTGGTTGGTGGGAGTGGGGCTCTTTGCCCAGGCTCCCAGAGTCCCCCTGACAGTGTAGCTGGAGGTGGGCAGGTTGGGGTTATAGGAGGCTGAAGGGTGTGCTCAGTGGTTTCTACAAATTCACTGTAGCCCCGGCTCCTGGCCTGGTGCCCGAGACCACCCCACAGAACAAAACAAACCACCACCAACAACAAAGAAAACAAATACAGACACACATAAAAACAACAAACAGTCAAAACACAAAAAAATACAAGGAAAAAGACAAAAGAAGAAAAAGAAAACAGAAAAAAGTAGAAAAAGAAAAGAGGAGAAAGGGAAAGAAAAAAAAAAGAGAAAAGGAAAAAAAGAAGAAGAAGAAGAAAAAACATTAAATCCAGCCATTTGATGCAGTGCAGGTCTTGGCGTAATGCCCTGCAGCTATCTCCTCAGGCCACTGTGGGTTGTCCATTACTGTAACAGCTCCTCTGTGCCTTGTGGAGGTGTGGGGCCCAGCCACCAGGAGCCCAGAGCGCCCCTGGCAATACGGCTCTAGGTGTATGGGGCTATGGGGTATGGTAGGTGGTTTCTACAAAGTTAGTGCAGTTTCTGCTCCAGACTGCATAAATGTGCATAAAACACGATGGCCAGACCCCAGAAAGTGGGCTTCTCTGTGAGCAGGTCACATGGATCTTAGAGCGCTTCTTCTGTAGGGGGATGTGGAAGGCGATAGAGTTCTGAGCTTCTGAAAACCCAAAGCTGCCCCTGCAACCTGATGCTGAGCCTGTGTGTTCGTCCGTGGCTCTAGATGCCCTGTCTAGGTATCTGCCTAGAAAGGTGGGGCGCTGGGTGGGCTGTGAGAGGTGGGCTAGTGCATGTGTGGCTCTGACCAGCCCAGCACTGTCAACCCCCACTGCTCTTCCCTTATAGCTGGAGTGTGGATCAGTGGCTGCAGAACTGGTCTTTCCCGTTCTCAAGGGCTATAGCTATTCTCTTCTTTAATCTGACACTGCTCCTGCTTCGTTGGCAGCTGCTTCTAACACTGACTGGGTGGTGGTGGGGCGAGCTCTGGGAGGGTGAGGGGGAGGCGGCCAAGCTCCATGTCTTTGTTTTATGTTTTTGGCCTAGCCGTGAGGACTTCAACCCCAGTTCTCACCTAAAGTTTTACATGCTGCTCTCTCAGGCTGGACTGTGGGGCACAGCGAGAGAGCCCTCAGCCTGGCTTCTTCCTTCGCCCGCAGCTTTTGTGACTCCGATCTGCATCCTGGGGCCCGTGGCCTGTAGACTACATCTCCACAGTTCCCCCTTTTCTCCTCCCCAGCTAGCCCAATTTGCCCGCCTTCAGGTAACTCGATGTGTGGGCCTCTTAGCCATTCTTGCTTGATGAGCAGAGAGTACTTTGTTGAGTTATAGCTGTTCAGTTTGTTGTAACCTCCAGGGGAGATTTCAAGAAGCACTTCTCATGCCACCATTTCTGTGCTGTTACTCATGAATGCCCACTTTAAACTGTTAATCCATCATGTATTTTGGATTTTATTTGTTTCCCTAATTCTCATCAGGCTGATTTCTCCTCCTCTTGTTCCATATGGACCAGTCTAATAGGAGTTCAAATAGCTGTGCAGTTTTCACATGCACCCATCCCTGACATCTAAGTATGTGGAGGTGGCATTTAGGGAACCTCTAATTTTATGTGCCATGTGATTCTAGTGCGACTTACAGTTAAAAATTCTGTAGGCTCTGCCATATCTTCAGTGAAGTCATATTTCTCATATCATATCATATATATATACATATATATATATTAAAGAAACTATTTGATTTATATAATTTTACCTAAATATTTCCTTATGTTCACACACAGCATCACAAGTTACATACTGGCAGCTGAGACCTGTACACATGGTAATCACATACAGCACCTGTCTGCCAGCATCACATCCCCAAAAGTACCTCTTTCCCAATCCATTTACTTTATTGGAATTGCCACATCCTTTGGATTTTTTTTTTACTATTTGAAGCTTTTAAATAACCAGTATGCACATTTAATTTTCCTTATTAAATACTTACCCAGCATTTTATTGGCATAGCTCCAACTGACTTTAACAGGCCCTGCTCTGTGTCCCTGATTTTAAAATGGCCATTTGTTAATAAAATATAATATTTTTAAACAAATTTTAATAAATGAATAAATAAATAAATAAATAAATAAATAAATAAAGTGGCACTGTTAAGTGGCAACATAAAGATATTTCTCCACACAATGAAGTAAATTTTGCATCTTCTTATAGACTGATGGTTATTTTATGTCAAAATGTGGCTGTGGGACAACTGGCCGAGTGGCTCAGTTGGTTAAGAGCTCACTCAAGAGTGTGAGCTCTGAGCAACAGGGTCACCGGTTTGATTCCCGGCCCAAGCTGTGTTGTGTGTTGCCACTGAGCTGCCAACAGGGGGCAGGATGGCTCAGCTAAAAAAAAAAAAAAAAATATATATATATATATATATATATATATATATATATATGGCTGTGGATTTTTGAAACAAAAAATAAAATATTTAATCAGGATGCAGGCCTAAGGACCAGAAGAAAATCATCTATTTATGTATAACATAGAAATAGAATTAATAACTGCATTGATCATTAATGACAGAGTATATGCTATGAAAGCTGTATACTTGAACTTATGCTGCCTTTGTAGGACATGAAAATGAATATTCTTAGATGTTATTTTTGATAGACCATGGGGGTTAAAAACTATTTTTTTTCAAACAAATAAAGTAGCTTTATTAATGCAATGTATTAATGGCATGGATAGTACTGGGCATGTAATAAATTGTTTATGTCATTTTATGGGTTTTGATGAAATGATCAAAGGGGTTTACTTAAAATATATTTTCTGGAAATGACTTTAAAAAGGAAAATTAAGGTTAACACGGGTAATTTTCCAGTAGATAATTGAAAAATGTAATTATATCAAGTTTGAACAGGGACCAGAGTCTCTATCTTCAAGATAATTTCACATAATCCTCTAAATTTTATCATTGTTTCTTTAAACTAAACTGCAAGAAGCAATTAAAACAAAACACAAAATGAATTTAGCTTAGACAGTGATACTTGTATTGATTTGCATATTGCAACTCTATGTCAATTTCTATAGAATAAGAAAACGTATTATTTGCCAAAATGCCAAACAATTCAATCATTCTCTCCTTCATTTAACACATACTTGTGGATCACCATATCAGATATTAACATGTTCCTCAAGGAGTTCTCAGTCTGTTAGGGAAGAAGATTCAATATGAGAAATAATATTCACTGAGGGCCTATTAGACTCCACGTAAGATGCTTGGTGTTTTCATGTTTGATTTTCTGTTTGCGATGTGAGATGAAATGAATTCTTAATGCAACGTGGTAAATAGCAGAGAGGAGATACAATGTTTTGCTTTATTTATGAATATAGTAAGATGTGTAGATGTAGTTTGAATACAAAAATGAATTCATATTGTGTTAATAGAAAGAACTAGAGTTTGTTTAGGAGATTTATAAATTATTAGTATATTCTTTTTAAAACTGATTTAAAATAAAAATCTAAAATAAGCAGCCTTCAAAAGTAAAATCATATTAGGTATATTGATGTGTTAAATGGTTCTTCTAATGAAATATATTCTAAAGCAGACGTAAGGATCATAAATTTCAATTGATTCTTGTAAATATTATACAAGTTTTGAACACTAAAAGGAAAGAGAGTCTTTTGAAAAATATTTTATATTATTACTCACAATTTAACAATAATATTTCATATATTTTTTTTCTTAAAATAAATGCCAGTGGCTTAAGAAAAGATATACCATAACTGAATATTACTCCTGGTCTTGTCATTTTTGTTTTGTTTTGTTTTCTGTTTTTCAATATGGTGTATGAAATATAACTTGGAATTATACTTACTAACTCAAGAACTATGAAACATGTGTAAGCCACTATGCTTGTGAAGTGGTAGTAACCCATGAGAGGTATAGCTATTTTAAACCTTGGCTGACAAACCCCAAAATAATGGGATTTATCCCAAATACATCCACCTGATTGATAAACTAGGTGTTAGGCTCTAAAATGACATTCGACACAGTGTCTTTAATCAATTTACATTTTTTTATACATATACTAAGACTTTATTTGATATAAATGTATAAAAACTCCTATACCAGAACTTTCCTATTTTTAAAACACCTCTGGTTAAAATGTATATATTTTATTATAATGATACATTTGGTTAATCAAATGAAGCTACATAGGTATCATGCCATAAGCTCATAAACACCATCATAAATTAACGAGGAAACTAATGTTGTCTCCAATTTTCTCACGAAGAAAAAGACTGCATCTGGGAATTATCTGTTGCATTGGATCCTAGTAGTAATTCCTCAACAGAATTCTCAATTACTAGGTAAAGTCAGTTCATAATGTAACCACATGTAATGCCAACTGTTTTGTGGAAAAAAATACATCAAGGTAAGTTGACTATAAAAATAGATAATGATTTTAATAACACAAACATTCAGAAAATTTCAATTTGAATGCAGAACAAATTGCCAACTCATGCCTTGGGAAGAGGTGTGTGTGTGTGATAAATTGATAAAATAGTTTCCATTGTAGATCAGTACTATGTACACTCTTGAAATTATTATGTATCCCTACATGTTTGTCTTTGCAGTTTACCATTTTGTCCTACAAACCATCAATAACACTATCTTGTATTTTTTTTTTTTCCCCTTCTGTGCAGATTTTCCTTGGACCGCCATACTGACCTCGACAGGATCTTCAACATACATTCTGGAAATGGATCGCTTTATACATCAAAGCCACTTGACCGTGAACTGTCTCAATGGCACAATCTTACCGTTATAGCTGCTGAAATCAGTAAGATGAATTTTATGTGTATAATATTTAACATATATTTTTAGGTTCAATTTTATATTAAAAATAATTCCTTCTCATTGCACACAGGATTTATAATTTTAATCTAAGTTTTTAAAAAGCTTCTCCACACCTATATTTTTTTTTCAATCGTTTTTATATATACTGAGTGATAGCTATAGGTCTAGATAAATCTACATTTTATATTAACTAATAAAAAATGTATAATTGGGTACTAAAGTTATTCTCACTTGGGTAAAAATAAATGTATTACATTTGTTTCATGGATTCTATGAATTAGAATTTGTGCTAACTACTGGGTACATGTCATTTAATTTTAACAACACATATGCATGTACATACTATTTTTACAAATAAGAAAGCCAAAGTAATTGCAATAATAGCTAATATTAAACACTGTGCCAGTTATTACTCTAAGAATTTTAAATTAATTTTTTCCTACTAATATTTGTATTGACCTTATTTGACAGAGAAGGAAACTAAAGTTCCAAGGATTTTAGTAAGTTGCCCAAAATCACAATGCCACAAATAGTAAAACTGGGATTTGGAACCAGTTATTTTGTTTCTAGATAGAATACTTAACTGTTTACCTAATTTGGAAAATTTCATTCACTTATTACTGGGCAGAGCCAGGATTCAAAACCATATTGTTTTTAATAGCAAAAGTTCTTGCCTGTACATAGGACCAGCTACATAATTTTTGGAGCCCATTTTAAATTGAAAATGTCAGGCCTTTTGTTAAAAATGACCAAGAAATTTAACATAGCAACAGCAGAGCATGAAAACTAGTTTGTGGCCCTTCTAAGCATGAGACCCTGTACCATTGTGCATGCCCATGAAACCACCCCTGTCCACACATGCAAACCTGTTCGTGGTTTCTGATTTCTGTACTGTGGTGTACTCGTACATGGAGTAGAGCAATTCTTTAACTGTTTTCAAAAGAAGCGTTAATTAGGGACTGAATCAATGGGAAAAACTAAGCCTATAAATTCCAGACTTGAAATGCTAAGCTGAATCCACAAACATACATCAAGTTCAACTTGTTGGAAGTGTCTATTCCAGGATTTGTAAGGCAGAACATTGGGGCTGAATAACAAGAGTCTCAGAAGGATGGATCGAGGCTAGACAGATCATCGGCAATGAATTCAAAGCTTCAAGATAACAGATTTAGCTTTCTCCTTTAAATCTGGCTCTGAAATACAGAATAACGTGATAATTCAAGTGATCCAATGTTTCCATAGTGAGATATAAATGGCTGTGCCTTTTAAGGCTCACAGAAGATCTTTTGAGTTTCTTTGTTTTTTTTTTCAAAGAAAGCCTTTATTTCTGTATCTGTCTCCCCACCACCATGGTTAGACGTGTCCAACAGGATCCAGTCTGGTCATTCCAGAATCATGAGTGCTTGTGCTCTCTGTTGATTCAAGTCCAGTGAGCTAGAAATTGCATTTTCCATTTCAGATACTTCGACAAATTTAACTTCTAAAGCTAGTTGAAGTAATTACTATTCTGTTAAAAAGCTGAGCCAATTATGTTCTTCTTTTAAAAAACTAAACCTATTTCTTACCCTTAAATGAATCAATCTATGGAGTAACTGCTGTGAATGTCTACCTGCCAAACCGCAAGCAGTCAGGGGCCCATTATGCTGTTCCGAGTATTAAATGGAATGAGGGTAAGAGGGAAACAGCGTACAGGAAATTATTTTCACTAGATTTTAAACACTGGGTTTATGGAAAATGTGTCATACACCAAGCCCAATGCAGGGAACAGTGACATACAAATGTTCTTACTGATGTGTTTCCAGGCCCTGCCTCTAACCATTTAATTCTACATTCCACAGCAGTATATCACCTCATATGGCAAGTATTGCTTCAGGTAATTATTTAGAGCATCGTACCATGAATAACTTCTCTTGTTCTTATTTGAAAATATTTTTAAAGGCCATGTGAAGAATAAAAATTCTAAAATTAAGGTCACAGTCAGGGATTGTAGGACGCACCATTGTAGAAATGAACGAGTTCCTCCTCTAAGCACCTCTGAAAATGTAATATAATCATTGCAATACATTCTGAGGACAGTCGAGCAAAGTCGATGACTGGAGGACTCCATTATCTATACCTAATTCCTTAGTGGTGGAAGTTCTTGCCCTAAGATAAGAGAATACACATCGTTCTAAAGCCTGAAATTTCTAGGTAATGATTTAATTTCCTCTTCTGGGAGGTATGGAAAGCCTGTGGATTCATAGGCATAGATTCATCTTCCTACATATGTATAACTGGTGATACATTCTTGCTGCAGCAGCGTTTGCCTCAATGCCTCTGAGAGAGACTCAGGTGGTAAATACATGCCAGCTCCTATTCAGTTTGATGCTTCCTCGGAATGCTATATATTTTTATTTATACGTAGGCTGCAGCATCTGCCAGTAAAAAAGACCAGCGCAAGCACTGTTGTTTGAATAGGTGACTCCAGGCCTGGGCTTTACAAAGCACATTGATCCCTGTGGATTTAGCTTTTGATTTGAAGAGCCTTGAGTTATTTGTAAAGAGGCTGGAGAATCTCAGTGTATTGTCAGGGAAGGAACCGACAGTGCAGTTTTTGAGATGTGAAACTTTTCTGTCTCTCCATCCTTTGTGCCATAGTTAGAGAGTGAACCGCTACCCACAAAAAGAGTTATTTTTATGTCAAGAGTTTATATTGAAAGAAAATATGTTGCTTATGTCCACTAATTATGTTAAGTAGGTTAAAGAGCAAGTATACCTTCCCACTCTCCTCCGTAGCAACAAGTAACTTTAGACAGCTGAGGGTTCATCTGTAGGTGAGCCATGCATCTGGGTATTAACCAAGAGTCTACAAGTAGAGGTAGGAAAAGAGTGGAATAGCGTTTTTCTCCTGTCCCCAATTTTCCCCAAATGTACTCCTGTTTAGACCCACATGAGTTGCATCATAGGATAGCTAGTTTTTATTGTGTGAATGTTTTGTATGGAGAAAGAGCATAAGCTCCTCAGTAAGGTAAGGAAAAGAAAAAGATATGGCAGTGATAATAAAGCTGATCTTAATAATAATAGTCAACATACATTGGGTACTTAACCAACAAACTGATACTTGATAAGAAGTTTTCATACATTAAATTCCTCTAACTCTTCAAATAACTATAACAGGGGTCGGCAAACTTTTGAGACAGAAGAGCCAATCCTGTCCCTCACAACAATTTAAAAATTATTCGAGAGCCATAAAACAAATGATATCACCATTATGTGAACAGTATCCTTTAAAAATTTTATAAATGAAACTATGATAGTTTTATTTTGATTTTCAATTTTACATCAGAGCCACATGTATGCACCCAAAGAGCCGCATGTGGCTCGCACGCAGCCGTTTGCTGACCCCTGCTCTGTAAGATTAGAAGTTCTGTTTTGATTCATGTTGAGTTTAAACTGAGGCATTAGAGAGATGGAGTAAATTGACCCAAGTGAGTAAGTGGTAGACCTGGGAATCTAGCAGCTCTGTTTGACTCCAGGATCTGACCGCTGATCACCTGACACATTAAATAGAAAACAATATCCATTAATACTTACATTAGCAAACATGAAACCAGAACCCAAGAACTGAATTCACGTGGGTTAAGAAGTCTGAAGTAAGACTGGTGTTCAAGTGGGGAGGCATTTGAAAGTTTCTCTTGAAAAGAGGAAGGACAGGTAAACACACTACAAAATAAATTTAGAATTCTGTCTGCCTGCTTTCACACTCCTTCAGCCTTGTAAATGTCCCTGCTGAGTAATCAGTTCTTACACATTATTTATAAAAAGCGCTGATCTCATTATTTTAGTAACATTATAATGATGTGGAGAGAAAGGAGAAGAAATTCTTTTGAATCGTGACATCCTCCCTATTTACATGTGACAGTATTTTTTACCCCTGTATCTAAACATTACTTAAATAAAATTGGAGTCATATAAATTTCTCAAGGATAAATGATATTACTCATAGCCTTGTTGGCAGAGGTCATTTAATAAGATTGCTCCTGTCCCTCAGCTTATCTGCTCTTTGTTTGTTTTGCTTTGTTTCTTGCTAATTATCTCCTTTCTGCTTTTATATTGATCTTCAGCTCAACTTGGCCAAAGTTCATGCAGAATTTGAACTATGTCCAAAGCCTGAGATTTTGACATCATGAAGGCTGCTGAATAAAACCTGACTTTGAGATGTAAAAACACTCTCAGAGATCAATACATGTGCCTAGAAAAATCCGTAATGGAGATAATGAAATTATGACTAATACTAGGCTGTTACCCAAAGCTAGGCTAAATAGACATTTGTATTTTTAAATTCCATTTACCAATCAAAACAACTTTTAAATCATGTTTTTATGGGAAAACTTTGATGCTCTTGACTTCAGCATTTGTAGCAAAAAAAACAAACAAAACCAAACAACCCCAAAACAAAACAAAAAAACCGTAATTATTACACTATATGTTACTATTGAGCTAATTTTAACGCTGGCTTATTGAAATGGTACAAGTAACACTTATATTAATGAAATATATTTCATTGTAAGTTTCTATCCAGTTTGTAAAATTAGTAGCTATATATTAAAATTTCTTAAAGAAGAGTTGAGAGTGGCTGTTGGAATACATTTTAGTGATAAAAGTGGTCAGAAGGGTAGATTGTAATATAACAACTATCACTAAGGAGCTAACGACCTTGAGCGAGTTACTAATTTATTTAAAATTACTTCTTCATCCTCCCCCCCAAAAAAATCAGTACACATTAAATAATATAATTATGTATAACAAAGATTTAATAAATAGCTTTTCTTATTTTATATATTTGGACCATAAGGACACAAATATAATATGAACTCAATTACACTGGAATGTGCTTTCAAAAAGGTTTTCCAAAATAATAATAGTACTCTTGAGCCCAATAATAACTGAATTCATGACTACTTAATTAGCCTCTTAGTTTCTTTATTGCATTTGCTCATTCTGTTAGTAGGATAAATGTGATGTTTATTTGTATGTGAGCACTTAATATCCACAAGATGCTTATATAAAGTAAATCTGGTGGAAACTATGTCTTTCTAAACAAATGTTTCCTTTCCCTTTTCTAGACAATCCCAAGCAGATGACTCGCGTGGCTGTTTTTGTGAGAATTTTGGATGTTAATGACAATGCCCCACAATTTGCTGTGTTCTATGACACTTTTGTTTGTGAAAATGCCAGACCAGGACAGGTGAGCACTCTTAGGTTTTAAAAGCATAGTGAGATTTTAATGGCGTGGTTAAATATTCTCTTTTCCCAATCTTGAGAGGAATGAGCAAATGGAGAGACAAATACTCATCAAGTCCCAGTAATAACTAAAATCCAACAAATGCTGATATTTTTAAGGTTGACAATGTTTTCAATAACAGTATAAGTTCCTTATTTCTTTTGTAAAATTTGAATGTAAATATGATTGTATTGTTGCCACAAAAGTTAAGGATAAATAATATTACATGTTTAAACTTTCAAAAACAAAAAAGAGGAAAACCCCCCGCTGTGCCATTAGATAAATACTGATAACTGCTAGAGAGATGAGAAAGAAAAGTTGGGTAAAACGGACAAATACATGGGATCAGGAAACATTCCATCAATATTTCAAGTGTGTGAAAACACAGTTTCAAAGCAGAGCTGCAGACCCCACTCCTTGCATTTATATGTACATTTCATCATTATAGCAACACATAGAATGCTTAATGACTTAGTTTTCATCCTTTAAAATATTATTCCTACATCAGCTTTATTTATAGCTCTCTAAGTCTTTCCCTCAGTGGACTCATTTTGTTGTTTGAAAAGCTCCGGCGTCTATGGCTGAAAGAAATGTTCTTAATTGGTTTGAGTGTTATCTTCACAGAAGGAAGCTGCATGTTATAAATAATAATTGGGAATCAAATTTGTTTTATTAAAGAAAGAGGAGCCACCATAAAACTGTATGGTGTTTTGACATCATTTGATGCTCTTTACAAACATTAATGTCATTGTTACATTTTTATGCAAATTATACTGTGGAATAACTCAGACTCTTCCTTCTAAAGATTGTAACAGGAATTCAATAGCCTGTCTGTTTGAAATGGTAAAATTGGTGCAATTGGATTCATTTTTTTTTCATTTGAAAATGTTATGGAAATGTTTAATTTGGAATATTTACGTGACTTAGCTACTTCCGACCTACTTCTTAATGAAACAGTGTCTGCCCTAAAAATACCATTCCGAATAGTCCTCTGCTTGCGAGCCTCAGCGTGATATAAGTTGAAATTTTTTCTCAAAGATAAATTACCCACTTTGCAACTGCCACATACATTGTTCCCTCAATGGCTCTTCTATTTGATTTTCAAGAGATATCTTTTCAGAGCATTTGAATCGTTATAAATACTGATTTCCAAATGTATTCAAAATATACAAAATACTGGATTGTGTTTATTTTCCTTATGTCTTTTTTCTTCTTTTATTTAAGCTTTATCTGGCTCAATAACTTCATATATTTTGGGCTTTTAAAACCCAGTTGATGTAGTGAAGGAAAATATAATCAAATCAAAGATGATTTTAATAAAAAGGTAGTTAGCTTATTTTGGCAAACTCAATGGGAAAAACATGATTAATAAATTTTGTCTAATTGTCTGCATGTGCAATAGTCTGTCATAGCACTTATTTTTAATAAGGCCAGTTTGTTAGGTGTCATTTTGGGCTCACAGGCCAAAACATGTTGCTTAAACTAAACTGTGATATACTCAGTGATGAAGTTCTAGGTTATGACATCTTAGCAGGAAAAATCAAACTGGTGATTTGGCAAAGTCCTTCTTCACTGAGCCCTGCTTGAAATTTGTTTAACTCTTGTCTTTCCTCCACTTTTTCTCTGAAATGTATTTTTTGGTCCATAAAAATGAACTGGAGTTATAATTTGTAATCAAACTTGCAAATGTGTATTTATTATGAGACACTGTAGATTTTATTTTAAAAGATCATTAGCTCTTTCACATTTCTATCTTTAAAGGGTCTATATGTGTTAACATATTAATCTTAATGATATAGGTATATAAACATAAGTACTTCTATCAGTCTACTATCTTTCTTGATATGTTATTTCATTTATGCCATTTTTCCTCTTCAATTTATTCTTATAAATCACTATTTAAAAATAAAATATTTTAGACTGCTAAATAAGTCAGTCAAGAAATGTTTTTGTAATGAAACTGATACCACTTAAAGAGTATTAGTTAACGTTATTTTAACATTTTTGTCTTTAATCCCTTCATATATATATATATATATATATATATAATATTTTGTTTTGTTTTTACTGAACAAATAAGTCATTAGCCATAAATTCTTGCTTCTATTTAATCTTGAATTACCAATAACATTTCACAAAGTAGTTGTTACATTTTAAAATATCTTTTCTAAATTATTCAAAATGTAAAAATATTTTGCTGCTTATTTCTAGACAATAAACATTTATCTTTATTTTGTCCAATTATATTTCTTGTATCATTATGAAAAAATGGTTAGAGCTGTAATTAAATAGGGAGTATGTCAATTTTACCACATTGTTATTTTTATGAGATGCTTTACAACAAAAATAATTAAATCAGAATAGTTAAAATAATTTCTTAATTTTTCTAATTTTACATTGTTTTAAACTTGAAATCCCTTTTTGAATCAACAAAACATAAGTTACACATATTAAAGAGTCATGCAATGTTAAATTGAGTGAATGCAGTAAAAAGTATATTTTTTAGTTAAGCATAAATTTGACCATTTTTATAGGTATCAGTACACATATTTAACCACTTCTGAAGCCCTCTTGCAAAATTAAAATATGTAAAAAATATATATAAAAAGTTATACATAAAAGTTAAAGCAGGGCCGGCCGGGTTGCGCATTGGTTAGGAGTAGGCTTGGGACGCCAGCTCTGAGCAGCAGGGCCCTGGTTTGGATCCCACATGAGGGCCAGTGATGCTGCGCTCTCTACATCTAAGATGGTGAACAACAGCTTGACCTGGAGCTGGGTTGCCCTGAGTCACCGGCAACGGTGCAGGCTGCAGTGGCGCTGGCCAGCAGCAGGCATGAGCTTTCGTGAGCTGCCATGAGCCACCGTGAGCAACCGTCCAATGGCCGGCGAGCTATATGCCTCACCCGGGAGGAACACAATGATAATACCAACATGGGCCAGTGAAGCAATGTCTTCCACAACTAGACTGAAGAACAAAAGGACAGCAACTTGTCTGTTCCCCTTCCTTGATTCCCCAACGCTGTTCCCCTCCCCCAATTCCCCAATAAAATCTTAAAAAAAAGTGGATATGTATGCAAAAAAGTACATAGCTACATTATATATATATGTGTGTGTGTGTGTGTGTGTGTGTGTGTGTGTGTGTGTGTGTGTATTTCTATAATATTAATTAATCATATAACATGTTCAAAGTAATGACCTGATTATACTTAAGGTGTTAAATTTTCTACTTTGTTACCAGTATAAATTTTTGTCTCTTATCCAAAAATAAACCAAAGAGTTGACCCTTATAAAATAACCATTTCCCATAGTATGCGTATGGTGAATTTAAGAACATATAATTTTCTTGACAGTGCAAATGAAATGAACTGTTACTGTTATAGTAGATAATAATGTCCATCTTTTCTTTAAAAAGTTATGTATAATATTGTCTATAAAATCTCTACATTTTTAGTTTCACTTTACTTTTGATGAGGAAGAAAGCCATAATCAAGATAATTTTCTAAAGTTTTCCTACATTAGAGAAACTCTTCCAGATCAATGTTTAAATATATATGAAACAAGTTACTCCAAATGCTATATCTCATAAAATTGCAAAGAATAAAATTTACCATTTATTATTTTGAAGGAAAGGATAATATTAAAGCGAAATTGAGAGAGAGAGAAAAAAAAAACAAAACCAGAGACAGAGTAACAGAGAGAGGGAGAAAGAGAACAAAAGAGAGATAGGACCTTGGTTAAAATCAAAGTAATAATAAAACAGATGGAATGACTGATCAAATAAAGATAAATGCACAAGGAAGAAAATCAGTTGCCTTTAGAAATTTTTAGACAAAATTGGATGTCAAAAATTACATATTGTAAAGCAGATTATACCCATGAAAGTTTGATATAAGTGCATTTCTTTTTTCTTTTCTGCAGCTGATACAGACTATAAGTGCAGTAGACAAAGATGACCCTTTAGGTGGACAGAAATTTTTCTTCAGTTTAGCTGCTGTCAATCCAAACTTCACAGTACAGGATAATGAAGGTAAGTTTTAGAATGTGTTCATTATGATTTAAGGTGACATTAATAAGACATTTCCCCCAAAGTAACAATCACCATATACTTGATGGATTAGTTTATTGATCTGTGTTAAAATTTTTATTTTCATCAGATATTTAGGGAGATGTTATGGTAATTTCCTGCTTAATAGTGTTTACTCTCTTGAATTTTAAAATAATAAAATTTGTGAAAGTCTCTATATGGGTCCTAATTAAAAGATCGAATCTTATAAATATTAAAAAGTCTGGAAATACTTCAGTTCTGGACAAAAAGAGTGGGATAGAAGAAAAGGAGTGAGAAGAAAGAAAAGTAGCATATTAGCCTGGGATGGGATTAGGTGTAAAAGTATAGTTATAAGGGCAAGATACATCATTCTCTTGTGTAATATATGAATTTTATGTCTCTGTGATCAAAAATACTGAAGTTACATTTTTTTTGAGTTCTCAAAAAAAACTAGAAACACATTTTAGAGGAAAAATATATGGAAATGGTATGGTTACTATTTTTAAAAAGTTGAACAGCTTTTTCTTTGGAAAATCAGTATGGTAATTATTCTAGTCTAAATAAAAGTATGTAATTAGAGCTTTTCTCTCTTTCATAAATTTATGTTAAACAATTACATCAGGTAGTTTTTGTTCAAAAGGCATACTTGTTTTAGAGCAGCTGTAGGTATAGCTATTCTTAAAATAAACCTAACTGCATGGGCATATTTACAATACCTTCGTAACTGTATTGTATGCTGGCGCGTCAAGTTGCTGTATCACCTTTGGGTAGCTTTCAGAATATCAGAAAGTAGTTCAAGGTAATGGTTAGCTTTACACTGAGCCAACTGTTACTTGAGATGTTTGATATAGTAGAAATTTTGTACAAATAAGTCATAGTAGAAATTTTGTACAGATAAGTGAAAGAGAGGGCATCTGTTGGTAATATCTGTTTCCTAAATCTGAGTTTCTGAAATGTCTATGTTTGCTATCCCTCTGGACACTTAAAATAATTGTAGTTGGGAAAATTATCATACGGTTGATAGAGAGAACACAAAATGCCCAGTTATATCTGAATATTGGAAAAACAACACTCATCATTGTAATTTGCTGAAATGACAACCTAGACATGGAACTTAGACTGGACATCGTTAGTACTGAATTGGCAATATTATACCTCTTTCTAATTGTATTTTAATTGGTTTTATGTTTCTGTTAAACTGAGCCCTGGATCTCAACCAAGACACCTCGCGTTTTAAAAAAGCAATAGAGACCAAAATAGTATGTCTTACACAGCATTGCACACTTACTGGGAAAACAACTCGGCTAATCTTAGCTAATGTTTGACAAATAGTACCATTTCCCTATGTTAGGAAGAGTTCCTGATCCAAAAAAAATTGACTCAAAGCAAGGGTTGAAACCATATGACTATAAACCTGAACATGTCATTACGTAGAATACCACTCAAATCTGATGAAGTATTTGACCTAATCCTGCATAAATTCACTACTTTCTGTTATTGGGTGGATTTTGAAAGGAATTCCAATGACACAGACAGACATCAGCTTAATGTCACTTTTCTTGAGAAAATACCCTTGAGTTGACATGTTCAAGTTAAGTCTTTAATTCTTTGATATCATTCTTTTATATAAAAAAATAACTTCCTGCTTCTGTGATACCACACCTGGAGTTTTTTATTCTTAAGATCCCTTTACTTTTCACTGACTTATAGGTCAAAAGCATTATCTGATGATTTTCTGAATATTTAACAAAATGATTTGAATAGACTAGTTAGGATAAATCTTCCTTTAGTTCTTCAACACATCGAAGTTTAAAAAAGTATAATGCAAAATGATGCTAAAAATACCCACATGCGTGTATGTTTATTTTAGTGTAGGTTTGAGAATGGAAGAATCATACCTCTTAGAAAATAAGTCAAATGGTAAAATTATCAGGATTACATTTTTAAAATCTTCTTGTGTACACTTTCTATTTTGCTAACCTATTTTCATAGCTTATGTAGTTAATTGATGTTGTAGAATTTACCTTTTCATTAGTAATTTAGGAAATGATTATTTTATGTTTAACCACTATACCTGTAAGAAATTGTCACTGTTTTTTTCTGTCTTGTCTGTTTAATTTAGCAATTGGCTAACTCACTTTCTTCGAGCCCTATGGAATTGGCTAAATTAGACTAAATGCATTACACAAACAGAGTAGGAAGTTATCATCAAGTATATATTGATTTTATTCTTTTAATATGTTTGGTTATATAGGGCTAGAAGAAACCTTTTTTAATTAACCCCACAACCCCATTCATGGATACTGGGTGAGTTAGATAAAAGAAACAACAGTAGCAATATAGTAGATAGTAGGATGCTGTCCTTAATTAAACCCCTACTTCTTTCTGTGTGTCTGTTATGCACTCTGCTGTATCAGTTGTCTTCCACCAATACTTTGAGCTATACATTGTATTCATATTCATGGGTGAAAATCAAAGTTCAGAAATATTAAGTAACTTGCTCACTGTTGTTCATGTACTGGGGACTCATGAAGCTTTTGACTGCATTGACTTTAGAAGTACAACTATAGTTAAAGTTTATCCAGTCGTATTTTTCTTCACGAATACTGGATTAATGTTATGTGTACGTAGACACACATGCATATTTGTAAATAAATATTTAAAAAATCATAGTAAATGATTTTTCGCCCTGGTGTGTGTGTGTGTTTGTGTGTGTGTGTGTGTGTGTGTGTGTGTGTGTGTGTATTTTCTGAAAACTCTGAAAAACAATATTCTCTCATCTGTGTAGTCTTGATTATTGATTCACATAACAAAAATTCACCGTTTTGAAAATCTAATGTATAAACAATCATAATATAAGATTCCTCAAACTCTCTAATTGATGTTATCTATAGTGTAATTGCATTGTACACAGTTTATAGCAAAACTGATATTCATTTCATATTTTGCATAAACATCACTTTATGTATATGTCAAAACCATGGTGTTCAGGATGAGACAAAATGTACGGTTCCAAGCCCTTTGTAATATTTTAAAATTTATTTTAGATAATACTGCCAGAATTTTAACCAGAAAAAATGGATTCAATAGACATGAAATAAGTACTTATCTCTTGCCTGTGGTGATATCAGACAATGATTACCCGATTCAGAGCAGCACGGGCACGCTGACCATCCGAGTGTGCGCTTGCGACAGCCAAGGCAACATGCAGTCATGCAGCGCGGAGGCCCTGCTGCTCCCCGCCGGCCTCAGCACCGGGGCCTTGGTCGCCATCCTCCTCTGCATCCTTATTCTGCTGGGTAAGAACCATTACAAGTGTGATTATTTCCTAAATTGTTTGCCGGAGTGTGTTTATAAATAAAAAATGTTGCTATTGAAATACCTCCTCCCAAACTAACCCCAACCTTAAAGATACACAGACATTGACTGTCGAATGCTGTTTATAAGAGAGTATTTTTTTGGATCGGATAGTTATCCCCTTCCTTTTGTAAATAATGAAGGTAATGTAAATAATGAAATACTTAAAACATTTTCCAAGGTTACACAATTTCTGAGTGGCTGAACCTCGCTCTGCAAGGCACCTTGCAATTAGTCACTACATATGGTTTTTCAGTAAATCTAAAGTTTATTTCCACATTTTTTTATAGCTGGACAGAGGCCTCACTATCTTACCTCTTCACTGAAATAATGTTAAAACAACCCTTTACCTGGTTCACTTCTCCCTAAAACAATGGCAGTTGATTTTATAACCTAGAGCAAATAGCTTTTTAACTGCTTTTGAATTAAGAATCAAGTTAAATTAATCTCTAGTGTAACTATTGTGAGTATTCCTGTGGACCTAATAAAAAAACCCCACAGTATTTGTTGTTTTAAGAAGCCGTGAGATGAATTTGGATGTTGGAGCCAACCTTAGGAGGTTTCATTATCTTCATTATTAGAACTTTTTTTGCTGAGTAAGATCATTTGGTTGATAAACAATCTGAGGTTTAAAATCTTCACATTAAAACTTTGTGTATGTTTGTGTGTGTGTGAATACATAAATTTAAGCAAAATAAAATGTCATGTTTTCTCCAAAATTTGAAGAATAAACATTTTTTGTTTTCTCTAGGAAGTGTCCGATTTATTTTTTAATCACTTTGAAGGTCAAGAACACTTATAAGTGGATTAAAACTTTTTTTTGTTGTTGCATTAAAAAAAGTCTCTTGTTTTGCATTTTACATAAGCTTGAAGGCAAGTAGTTTGACCCTTCTGTTAATAAAAAGAGAGAACAGGGCTAGCCGAGTGGCTCAGTTGGTTAAGAGCTCACTCAAGAGTGTGAGCTCTGAGCAACAGGATTGCCGGTTCGATTCCCGGCCTGAGCTGAGCTGCCAACAGGTGGCAGGATGGCTCAGCTAATAAATAAATAAAAATAAAAAAGAGAACATGACTTAATGCTACTTCACATAAAAATGTAATTGTCTTTAACTTAATGCTACTTCACATAAAAATGTAATTGTCTTTGTCAATTTGGCTGTGATAACACAATACCACAGGCCAGTAGCTTAAACCACAGAAATTTCTTTCTCACAGTTCTGCAGGCTTGGAAGTCCAAGATCAAAGCCCTGGCAGAGTCTGTGTTTGGTTGAGGGCAAACTTCCTAGTTTGCAGATGGCTATCTTCCGTTGTTTCCTCACTGGCCAAAAGCAATCATCTCTGCTGTCTCTCTTTTTATAAACTCACTCATCCCATTCATGAGGACTCCACCCTCATGACCTAACTACCTCCCAGAGACCCCACCTTGGAGATTTAGATTTTAACATATGAATTTTGAGGGGACACATTCAATTCATAACAATAATAAATCCCATATTATTTAAATGTTTCTTCTAAAGAGGCTAAATCAATATAGATATTTCATCATACATATACCTGATAAGATAGTTTATCTCCCTTTCTTCATGTAATTGAATTCACATCTGTTTCTCCAAATCATCATTTTAAAGGATCATGACCAAAATGTTTGAAAATAGTGAGCAAGGATGGGAAACTAATGCAACCAGAGGGAATTTGATACTAACTTTCTCCTATCTTTATGCTATTATTATTTATGATTAAAAATACTAGTATTATCGATACTTTGTCATGGAAGTAGAGAAATGTCTTTTCTGAGTGATATGCATTTTTACTTCTGGACCTACACTCGTTTAAGATATATCTAGCAAGATTCATACATGGTTTTTTTGGTTAATTTAATGGAGTAATTTGAATTCACCCTTTGCCATCATGTGATCCAACAATTATTTTTGATTTCATGCATGGAAAAACTTCATAAATTTCTAAACCAATGATATCTAAACACTGTGGCCTTCTTATTTTTCCCTGTAATTAAGGCCCTTTAACAATGTAAAGAAAAAAAAAACTATGTAAATCCATCAGTGAAGCTATTTAACAAACTAATAATCCATAATCCATATCTTGTGAAGAATGCTGCCTTTTCAATATTGTATAAGGATGTGAAAAATATGGGCATATTTTTGCCCTTCTTGATTCTTTTATTTGAAGACGAATTCAATTTGCATCTTTTTTTTTTTTATATGGACACAATTTATGTCACTATTTAATGTATGTACAGTCAGGAACTACCTTTAAACAGTTCTTAGAAAAGTAGATAAAGTTAGTCACTGGATTTGAGAAATATCCCACATTGCTTTAAAAATAAAGTAACACACTGATCTTAAACTCTACCCATTCTAGCTAAATCTACCCCCCTTCAACACTCCCCTCCCCCCCAAAAAATGATGGAAGTACAAAATTAATCTTAAACTCTAACCTGTCCTGAAAAAGCTATTGCTTAAACCCTTTTATAGCACTTCCACTCGTTATATATGGTGTTTTAGATGGGCCTTTAATGTTATCTTTTTATTTTTTTTCTTCAAGTTATAGTAGTACTGTTTGCAGCTCTGAAACGACAGCGAAAAAAGGAGCCTCTGATCTTGTCTAAAGAAGATATCAGAGACAACATTGTGAGCTATAACGACGAAGGTGGCGGAGAGGAGGACACCCAGGCCTTTGATATCGGCACCCTGAGGAATCCTGCAGCTATCGAGGAAAAAAAGCTGCGGCGAGATATTATTCCGGAAACTCTCTTCATCCCCCGGAGGACTCCTACAGCTCCAGATAACACGGATGTCCGGGATTTCATTAATGAAAGGCTAAAAGAGCATGATCTGGATCCCACTGCCCCTCCCTACGACTCTCTTGCAACCTATGCCTACGAGGGGAACGATTCCGTTGCGGAGTCTCTGAGTTCTTTAGACTCGGGTACCACTGACGGAGACCAAAACTATGATTACCTCCGGGAGTGGGGCCCTCGGTTTAATAAGCTGGCGGAAATGTACGGTGGCGGGGAAAGTGACAAAGACTCCTAACCTAGGATATATATTCTGTTGAAACAAGAGGAAGTAACTTGACCAACACCGTTTCCACTTCACAATATTTGACATTCAGGACAATTTTCCTGCCACTCAGCACAAAAAAAATTTTTTTTCCCCATTGCCTTTTAAATTTGCTCATTACTTACATTAATTCTTTCCTGTAGGATGTCTCATGGAATATATACGACATTTTATTTAATCACTTCCAAGAGCCAAAGCTATGGAAATTCAGTGTTGTCCATTTTAGGAAATAAAAGATAATTTCAGAAACATGAGCAGGATAGTTCTCCCTTAAGCAATCTCACCAACAAGCCACTTCTGTTAAATACATGACCTGCCCTTGCAAATGAAGCTTTTAAAAAAAGGTAAAGAGAAATTTTAAGGTATATCCTGTTCTGTACATTAAATTAAAAAAAAAAATGTACACGTGGTGTTAGTAGGTGTGATATGCAACCTGGTATACAAAACGTTTGTGCAATTTCATTTCATCAAATTCTATCTGCTAATGTTTTATATTTATATTTTTGTATTTATTTTTAAAAAAAAATAAACCAGTTTTTACAACTACCTTGTCTCCAGCTTCTTTTTTTCCCGAGGAAGAAAAGGTTTTCCATAGACTAAATAGCTTGGTACAAAATTACATTGAATGCAGGTGAGAACACAAAGTCATTATAATCACTGTTGGTAGTTTTAACCAAATTAATATAATTTAGGTAAAAATTATTTTTCCATTGAGTTTTGTTATGCTGTGATATGTGAACAACTTATCACATTAAAATAGTCCTTTATAGACTACGCATAAATTTACCATTTAAGCAAATTTGAAACACGGCTCTTCTTATGCTAAATACCCCCAAAACACCAGCAATGCAGTAATTTTGATTTCTTCATATTTACTAAAGTAATATCCAATAGAATAAAACATTTTCTTATTTTTGTAAGGCATTTTTGTTATTGAGGCTTATAGGCAATGAGAGGTCAGATTTCAGATTGAAATCATCCTTTAATGGAAAATATACTTACCTCCCATGGTGACATTGAAAATGCCTAGTAATGAGAGTAATAATGCTGAATATTCCATTAAGATACAGCATTGTAATTATGTCATTTTTGAAAATGCACTGCATATTTATTTATTTATAATAAAGTCTGTTTTTTTCTGTCAATGAAGGATTCAAGAGAAAGCAAACAAAACAAAGAATCAACAAAATAACCCGAAAACTGGCAGTTAATTTTTCAGAGTTCCTGACATTCATGGAGGTCAACTACCACTAACTGACCCTTCCTTTCACAAGTTCCAAACATAACTTATAAATGGAACACTTGGTTGGACCTCCACTAAGACGTAGCATTCCCTGCAGAGTATCCTAAAGAATACCAAAGATTTGTGTACTCTCTAATTAGTGAAAGTGCTATGCTTTTGGAGTGAGTCAGAGTACTATATTGACATAGCCGTAATGCAGAATTAATTATTTCAGT